AAAGTAGAGAAGATGAATTAGCTGTTGAAATAAAAAGATGCAAGAGCTGTACAAGAGCAGAAGAGGGTACAGAAAATAACTGCCAACAGTAGATCAGAATAAACAACAAAATTAACATAGTTTCAGATGTGTTAATAAAAAAGAACAGTAATAAATTAATATAGCAATAGATCAGATAACAGAAACAATAAAGATGAAAAGACCAGAAATTAAAAAACAAGAACTTGAAGAGATTTGAACAATAGAGAAATTAGAAATAGAAATTGTTAAATAGCAAAGACTAGATGAGAACATTAACTAAAAAATAATAGAAGTCTTAAGAAGAAATATAACAAGAAACAAAAACAAGTATATAATATATATAAACAGTATAGCAAACATAAAGGCCAAAGAAGATACAGTAACTGAGAATAGAATAGGTATAGGATGGATTCAAATGAATGAAACATAAAAATAGCCAGAAGAGAAAATAGCAATAGGCCTAGAAGAATGACAAATATCAACAATAGTTGAGCTAGTAGCAATATGAACAGTAATATTAATGATACTAAAAAGAAAGTAAGTAAAAATATATATAGATAGTAATGCAGTAATAAGAAATATTAATAGAAATTTAGAACAAACAGATAAAAACAAGATCCTCAAAAAAAAGAATACAATATAGATAATAAAGATCAGAGACCTTATTATAACAAAAATATTTAAATAGAGTTAGTTAAAGAGTTACAGTAAAGATAAATGAAATAACAAAGCTAATAGCCTGACAAAGAAAGAAGTAACAAGCAAGAAAATAATACAGGTTAAAGAAGTCAGTTGTAAAAAAATAGAATATTGCTTAGAGTGGAAAAACAAACAAACTGATATACCAGTAAGATTACTATGTAAGTTAATAACAAATACAAGATTAGAAGCAAAATGAAAAGAAATAAAAGCAATTAAAAAATTAGAACCAGAATCAGAAGTTATGATTTATGATTAGATATTTTTTTGAAAAAGACTAAAGATGGCAAAGAGGTATATTGCACAATAAGAAGAAGTAGTATTAAAAGAAGTGCATTTATAAAATGTGTAATAGACAAACTTCCAACTCTAGAAGAACTTAACAAAAGAAGACCAGATATATATACAATAACTGAATATCAAGTATACAAAGATAAAGTTAAAGAAATACAGATATATTTAGCAGCATGCAAAAGATAAAGAAACTTATAAAAAAAATTTAAAAAATAATTATCATAACAGCTTAAAAAGAACTTAGTAAAGAGGAAAAAGTCTGAATCCCTTCATATATATTATACATAGTGCTTTTTAGTAAAATGAAAGCAGAAGAAGTGAGAATAATAGAGATCCTAATTAAAGACCTATTTCTAAGATCTTTATTAGCTGCTATCTATTATTTGCAATTCATGTTGTATCATCAGCATATACAACTGTTGCTTAATTATGCCATATAATATTTTTGCATTATGTATTTTTTTTTTATTTGTTGCTCTATTGTATAGGCTAAGCTTTCATTTTTTTTGTACTCTTTCTAGTAATGAATCATAAAAAAGCCACTATATTAAAGATAATATTACTTTATCTTGATCTATATTATCTTCTGCTATTATTTTTTCTATTAGGCCATAGGTTGTAATAATTCTTAGTTGTCTTTTATGAAATAGGTTTAAAATATATTTCACTGTTTTTTCAGGTATCTTAATTCTTTGTAATTCTAGTTCAAGACTTTTAAGTAGAACTAAATTGAATGCCTTTTTCATATCTTGCAAAAGTATTTATACTTTTTTGTTTTTTTCTTTTGCTTCTTTTATTATCATATTTAAGATATATACTGGTTATTCTGTTGAGTTACCTAAAAGGCTTGCATAGTTTGGTCTTCTGAGTATTTCTTTTTCTATAAATATTCTGGTAAGCCTTTTGATTATCATCTTTGTTATAACTTTTCTAAATGTTTCTATTAGTACTATTGGTCATATATTGTTTATCTTTTAATATTAAATAAACTTATGCTATTTTTCATTTGGTTGGTATCTCTTCTACTTTAAAATACAGATCTACAAAGCTTCTAAATACTTCTTGTATTTTCCTTCTTGCTCATTTTATCAAAATATAGCTTATTCCTGATATACCTAAATCTGTTTTTGTTTTTAGCTTTTTTAGTACTTCTTCTCATTCTCTTTCATTAATTTTTTGTTCAACTTTTGTGTACTATTCTTCTTTTATATCCTTTATGGTCTATATATCTCTTTTCACTTTTTTGACATCTCTTCTAGTTTAATGTTTCTTTTTCTAAACTACTTCTTGTAATGTTCTGTTACTTCTTTTCTGACTTCTTCTAGTTTTGTTAGCAAACTTGTTTCTTCTTCAACTTGCTTAATGGATCTGTTAAGTACTATTTTTTTATATGGCCTATTTAGTAGACTTGCTATTATTTTTCTTTGGTTTGTCTTAATCATTTCACATCTTTTATCTATATTTCTTCTATTTGTCTTCTTTGAACTTGCTTTCATTTTTTTTTTTTTTCTTGTAGTAGTTTTTTCTAACTCTTTATATCTTCTATCCATACATTTGACCATTGCCTCTGTAATATTGGTAGTTTTGCACCTATTTTCTTGTCTAGTTCTTTTAATTATTCATTTATTTTGCATTCTTTTTCTTCTGTCACTTTTTGGTCCTTTTTTGTTTTTGTGTATTTGATTAGTCTTTGTATTTTAACTAAGTTTTCTTCTAGTTGCTATTCTTTTTGACTTTTCCTTCTATTCATTACTATGTTATATATTTTCTGCTTGGATATGTGTTTGTTTGCTACTGTAAGAATTGCTTCTTCTATTATATTCCAAATATTATTTATTTTGTTTATCCTTTCATCTTTGTTTTGTTCTTTCTTTTGAATGTTTTTTAGGATTTTTTTAACTTTTAGTTGGTTTTGTAACTCTTGTATGTAGTTTTTTCAGTCTTCTGTTTTTGTTTGATTATACAAATATAATGTTCTTGACTGTTTCTTTCTCTTAATCTCTGCTTTGCTTTTTTCTGCTATTACATGTTTGATCCATATTTCTGCTTTTATTATTTTATAATTATTTTTTGTAATTTTTTCTGCTTCTTCAATTTTTGCTTTTTGCAACCCAGTTGTTAGTCCATCTGACATCTATATATAGTTGATTTTTGTTGCTGCTTCTTCATTTAACTATGTATATTGTTGTTTTGTTAGGTATATATCTCTGTATGTGTCACTAAAATCTTGTTTTTTTATCCAATTAAAAATTGGCAATCTTTTGTAATTTGCTAATTGTAGATGTTGTCTGTCTAGTATATTGTTTACTGTATGATTAAAGTCACCTATTATGATTATTTGTGTTTGTCTTTTTCTTTTTAGAACTGTTTCTACAATTTTTGGTTAAATGCTCTTTTTCATTACCTTGTCATTAGGTGGTATATAAATCAAGATTATTACTAACTCTAATTGCTTAAAGTATAATATAATTTTCATTATATATTTACTTATTTTTTTAACTGCACCTATATATTTCTTCTATTGCTTATCTACTAGAATTCCAATGCTTAATCTTTTTTTCTTATCTTCTACTGCATTTACTAAGGTTACCAGCCATAATAGGTTTGGCAAGGTTGTAAGGTTGCAATCTTTTACTCTAAAGTTGTAACTTTTTGTTATAATAGGTGCAATAATTGTAATTGATAAAATAGTTGTAATAATTATAATGGCTGTAATAGATGTAATAGTTGTAATAAGTGTAACTGTTGTAATAGATATAATAGTTGTAATGAGTATAATAGTTATAATAGGTGTAATGGTTGTAATAGGTGTAATAAACTGGCTAATTTAGTTGTTATAATTTGAATAATTGAATCTCAAATTAATAAATAATAAGACAATTTGTTATATTTAAAAGCAATTATTTTAGAAACAAAGTAAATACAGTCTATCTGTACAAATTTGAACTGGACTTTGTGAAGTTTATATCGATATGCTTCAAAATGTACACCTGTTTAAGTATTAAATTTTAATATGAGCTATATTACATTAAATCAGATTACTCCAAAATTCAAGATTATTTATTATATAAAAACTTCATTAAATCAAGAGATTATTATAATAAATATCTTGTACTAACTTTAATGCATATAAAGGATTGTACATATTTTTTACTATAGTTTTCAGTTTTGTTTGTATTGCTGAGACTTTTTGGGTGCCTAAATAGGAAAAAAAACTATAAAACTATAACAATTCATATTCAAATGTTTTGCTACATAGAATATTTTATAGATAGAACAAAATCTAAGCTATAGAAGATTATACAAGTCAGCATTTTATAGTATCATATAAATGTACATATGTATATTACAATTTAAAAATATAGAATTAAAAAATAAAATTTTATTTTCTTACAAATTTGTAGGCTTTGAATAGTTGAATTTACTATAGTAATCATAGATTTAGAATAGTCTTTAAACTATATATCTTTTTATTTGTGTTTATTACTATTTTGTTAAAATATATTATACTAATTCATTGTATTTTGCTCTTTTTTTAGTGTGCTAAATTACAATTTACTTTCAGTTCTAATTTCAAGATCACATATTAAGATCACAATTCTGAATTGACTATGCTTTTATTAACAATAATGTGGATTATAAAGGTAATCAGTTTAGTTTTTAATATATATAAAGATATACAGTTACTATTACAACTCTTTTTTTCTTTTCTCAATACAGAGTATTAGAGCTGCAAGTCATGATAATAAAAAAGTGCAAATACAACTTTATTTTATAAAAAGCACAATATGTATAGCTATTATTATCTTTTATAGAGTTGAGTAATTATAATGATTAATATAATTTTTAAAAGTTTTATAATTTCAAGAATTCATACTATATTGGAAACTATAGTACTTCAAGTATTAATTTCCTGTAAATTATCACCCAATTGTTGGGCAATAATTTTATTTACATTATATTCTTGTATGTTATTATTATCAGACTTAATTTCATTAGACTCTTGATTTTCATAACAACTTTCAGAATTTATAAAAACTGAAGAATAAAGATCAATAAAATTTGAAACATTTAAATTTAAATCTAGTTTGTTGAAATAAAGATCTTTGGTAAGATTAGGCAATTCTGTATCTTCTTCTTCTGTTAATATTTCTTTTTCAAATTTTTTAAAAACTGTTTCTGCAATATTTGTCATTATTTCAAATGTTACTTCAGTAGTTTAAGTATAATAAAGTTGATTAATAGGATTTGATAAATTGAACTAATAAATTGAACTGATAAATTTTTGCTAATTCTTCTAGCCGATCTACATCTAATTGAATTCTATTGCTCTCATAAATTCATCCTAATAGTAAAAAGATTCATTTGCAAATAGCAAAGCTTGATATAATAAAAAAAAGTTTCATTGCTAGATGTTGTAAACAGTTAGGTTTAGCTTCACAAGTATTTTATTATATTAATAATATATTATGACTAATCGTATAGAAGGCAATATAAGAATTTGGATTTCTATTTATATATTGTTCTTGTTCTTTATACAAATGCAATTGTATTATTAAAGCTTCACAACTATTTTTGGATTTACCTATTTGCTGCTATAACTTTCTAGCATAACTTGCAATTAAAGAAAATGTACTAAATTTTAATTTGACATCTTTATATGCTAAGTGAAGGAAATATGCAAGTTGATAAGCAAGATCATTAAATTCATCAAACCAACTATTAAATTTTTTAATACAATAATTATGAAATCTTTTATACTCATCAGTAGGAAGATTTTGTATTGCTGCAACAATTTTCATTAAATTAATGTAACAATCAGCAAGTGTAGAACAATTTGTTTTAACTAACAAGATCACATTCTTAATTGGAAGTAAAACTTCTGAAAGATATTGTACATTACTAAAACAGCCCTGGCTACGAAGAATTGTCAAAATAGCAGGTTTGATAATTTCAGAATAATTTTCTTGAACATCTTCCAAACAAGCTTTAAGTTGCATAATTGAAGAAATACATTTATGTATAGTTGTCCACCTAGTTTCTATATACATTTTAAGACTACTACTACTAATTTGATATTGTAAAATTTTTTGGCTTAAAATAGCTGCAGCTTTATGAATTTTTTAAAAAATTTTGTTATTTTATTAGCATGCTAAATTATTCTTGCTGCAAATGTATGTGAAGTAATATCTTTACTAATTAGATTAAAACAATGAGGAATACATTAAAGGTTCATAATATTTTTATATTTTGAACAAATTATATGTCATACAGCTGCTATGTTGGCTCCATTGTCACTGATAATTGCTGAAATTTTATTACTGCCAATATGATTTACAATTAATTCAATCTTGCTAGTCAAAAATTTTGCTATATGAGATTGATCTAAATAATTACTAAGTTCATAAAAATATTCTTCTTGTGACAGTATTATAATAACAAAATTCCAAATTGATAATCCATTAGAGAAAGTCCAACTATTGAGACCAACAGTAAGATTAGTAGCACTTCCTATAATTTTATTAACTTTATTAATAACTTTTGCTATTTTAATATTTAGTAAATGTTCAGAAAGAACTTCATATAATGGAGCTTCATAACTAGAGTTAAGTTTTAAAGCATTTATGAAAAAAGGATTATTGATTATATGAAAAGCAATACCACATATAATAAAAGCTAATGTAATAGCTTCATTAATTATCGATTGTTTAAATTTCTCAAATCTTACAGAATCAAACTAATTGGTTAATTGCTTATCTACTTTTTTTTTTAATTAAAGATGAGATGGTATTTGGCATGCTATAAAGAGGTTCATCAGTTGGGGTATCTTCTAAATGATTATCTAAAATATAGTTAAAATGGCATTGCCACTCCTCAGAAATGTTCTTACAGCTATTAGCAAGATGTGCATGTAAAGTATGTAATTTGGCATATGTATAAAATTTATTACAAAATTTACAGATTCCTTTCTAATAACTATCACCTTTGGATGCATCTCTTTCAAACCATTTCTAAACTCCTATTGGTAGATGTCCTGATTTTGAGTTGCTTAAGTTTATAAACTCAGTTTCTGTATCACTTGGAATTGTTTTGTTATTTCACTTTCATTTAGTTATTTTTTTTTAAAAAAACTATAATACTCATAAAATTTGAGTTTTAATAAATATATAATCATGAAATTTTATATTACTAATACTAATGTTACAGGTTTTTTACATATCAAAATGTTCAAGACTTAGATACTTGTTTTCTATCAGTAAATAGTATTTAGTTTTTTAAATAACATGATAACATTCAAATATAAATTGGGCAACTAATCATTACTATAACTATATAATTTGAAATGCAACACAAGATAATTTAGCTTTGTCATTATATGTGATGCAATATTTTTATAAGAGCCTGATTCAAATATTAATAATGCTACTTTTTGTTTTACTAAAACATATTAATATAAAAAAACACTTGATTTTATATAAATGTTTGCTTTATAATAACACATAATAAATTATATATAGTATATATAAATTGTAGTATGCAAACCTTGATCTAATAAATTTTGATTTAATTTCAGATTTTTTTTAGTATAATGAAAAAAACTTTATTTTTTAAACTTTGACAATCAAGCTTTAAAGGTTTAAGTTTTTTCTCAAGCAGTTTATTTTTTATATGATATTTTAAAAAAGATCTTCATACTAAACTATATATGTAATAGTAAAGAAATCTACATCTATGCACAATATTACCTGTCTTGTACAGGTATCTACAAGCATAAATATACATATAATGCAGAGTGTGTAAAAGCTTTAGTTTTTTTTTACAAAGTAGTAAAATAATGCACTAATTAAAATTTAAACTCTTATCAAAGTTGGCAAAATTTATTGTTCTCAAGCAACTTATTCTTGTTTTTTTTGAAGTATTGTTCTCTGTACAAAGAAGTTGATGCTTTTATACATACTTAGATAAATATTTATTTGGTTAAATCAATTTAAAAGTTCAGATTGTACTACAAAAAAAAAATCAGAATTGTTATATAAAATATGTAATATTATATTACAACTAGTGTTGTTAAGATCTGTGATCAACTAAAAATTTGCTGGTCATTGGTCAAATTGCCATTGGTCTGGTCTGTCTGGTCAATTAGTCAAGTGATCAGTTATACAAATCAATTTGACCAATTTGACCAATTTGACCATAGTCGAATTGGTCGAATTGGTCTGTATAACTGATCTTATAGGCAGAAATTTGTCTGATTGGCTAGCTTCGTAGATCAATTTGTAGATCTACATATGATTATTAGCCAATCAAATCAATCAAATCATACAATTTGCAATTCATTATTTTTATAATATTACAGTTCTAAAAGCGAAAACTTCAAAAAAAAGTTTATACAAATCGATAAATACGTATGATTTATTGGTTTATATATGTATAAAAGATAGATAGATGCATATAGAGTAGAGTCAAAATGGTAAAACAAAGCTCGAATCACTAACTCTACTATCTATAAACCCAGGTTGATATCTATAGTTAATAAATCCATATGCTTTAACAAACCAAGTTAACTTAAAAATATCTTAAATATAAAGCATAGACCTTATACATGAACAAGCTTATTTTCTTCAAACACCTAACTTGAAATCTCAAGCTTTAAGAAAAAAGACAACTGTTTTGTTAATAACTATTTTTGTTTTTGTGCATTTTAAAATATAGACGTAGCTTTTTTTTTTCTTTACCTCTTGCAGAAAGTCATGTTTAAGCCAACCTCTCTTAAATTAGAGATTATTGAAGATTATTTTTAAAGTTAGCTTTCTAGAAGCTAAAGATGATGTTTGTTAAGAATGGTTACTTGTGTAATGTTGCGTTCTCAAAAAGTATATATATAAGTTACCTGGGCAATTGATTTACATTAGCCAATCAGACGAATTTCTGCCTATAATAACTGATCACTTGACTGATTTGACTGATTTGATCAGTCAAATTGGTCAAATAATTAAATACACTTCTGTATACAAAATTGGGTACTATTAAGAAACCTTTTTGTTCCAAAGCACTTTATTTTGCTACTCAGATTTAACATCTAAATTTGGGATTTACCAACCATGAATTAAAGTTTTAGTCTAAAGACTGTAAATTGTATAATGAGTTCAGGTCTTTACAAATATTTATTTGTTCTCTAAAATGCATTTAATTTGATTAACATTAATTTCTTTAAAAATGCATCTATCAAATATATGTAAGTTAATTAGCCATAATGGTTGTATCTTACTATCTTTGGCAATCGATTCAAGAGCAAAAATTTTTAAAGTTTTGATATATACAAAGATAATTAATTAATCAAATTTGGAATAATCTACCTTTTTATAAAAACTTGTAATAAAAGTATTCAAAACCATTTGATTGAATCAATTTCGCTTCTGTTTGCATAATAGCTTTGTGCAACTACCTTATTTATATAGTGATAAATTTTTAAAAGAGCCTAAAACTAGCTTAAGAATACTGTACTGTCAATTTTTATTCAATTTTTTTTTTGGCTTTCAATTGATATATAAATTTAATTAAAGACAATTCGTACCTCCATTTCAGTCCACTATATAAGAGATTAGTATTAACTACTATACTGACAAATGACCAATTCTGCTATAAGTATCATTGTCATTAAATTTTGCAGATTACATATAAAGTATACTGTAAATAATCCAAAAGTAAAATTAAAAACATTAGAATCATTAGACAAATAAAAATATCTTTCAGTAATTTTTTACAATCAAAAAACAATTTTGCACTAATTTTTGATCAGCCAATTTAATCAATTATTAAAAATTTTGCAAATTTTGGCTAAGTAAATTTTTTGCTTTTTTACTTGAGTAGATGAAGCCACCCTAGGTCTTTTGCAGTATGAGTGACACTTATTCTAAATAAATTGATTAATAACTATTTTTATTAGTGGTGTCACCTATATTGCAAGAGATCCTTACTCTAAATTAATGAGGCTCTATCATTGCAGGTTCTGGGCAATTTAATTCAAAGATAGGTATTAATACAGATTTACAAGAATGAATAAAGATTAGTGCTGATTTAATGTAAATGCATATGAATCTGCTATTTTTAAATTAGTTGATTAGCACGATATAAAATTTTATGAATTCCATAAAATCTATATATTATTGAGAGAACAATAGTAGTATGTGTAATTTATAGACTTTATATAAAAATAGCAATAAAACGCTTATTTTCTTTGTGCCTGTAAATTAGCTAAATACATTCTTGTAAATTGCATTGACTTAACTCTTTATACAAGGCATTCAAAACTTATCATTAATCTAATACGAATTTGCCCTTGAATTAGATCAGTTTTATGCAGACCAGTCATGCTTGTTTGATATCAAATTGTTCATCTTAGTAAAATCATTCAAATATAAAAGCTATATGAAATAAATATTGAAAAATAAAAAACAGTCTTAAATTCCCAATTTTTAAAAACAAAAAAACAAAATGTCTCAAGCTCATTCTCATAGATTAATGAAATATGTTTATGTTTAAGATAAACTAGGTCCAAATCAAACAGCTAAACAGGCTATATATAAAGCTTGCGAACATTATAAACACATATTTGAGAAGAGAGAAAAAGAAGGTCTCAAATTGTGGAAAGTATATGAAAAATGTGGATTTTTTAATAGGTGGGATCATGTACAATGATACTGGAAGATTTGCCTATACTGGTGTGAGTTTTGGGTTGAGGAAGACCAGGAAGTAATGACATATGAAGACTCTAATGAAAATATGATATGTAATGCTGTTAGAGTATTGCGACAAGAAAGAGAACAAAATAATACTGCCATGTCCATTGTCTCATCTAATTCTAGAGCTTTAAGCAATTATACAAAAATTTCAGAAACCTTCTTAACTTCATCACACATAGATGAAACAAGATATACTAAGAAAAAAAAATAAATTATACACTTGATTCATATATTGTTCGTTCATTATCAACTAGTCAACAGCATGACTTTAATCGTCTTCTCCTATGACTGATAGTCCAAAATAGTCTTTCATTTTGCTTTATTGAATCTAGTACACTTCATCAATTTGTTAATTTTTTTAACCCAAGCGTTAAAATTCCAAATCGTCAAATGATAAGCACTAAAATTCTTGTTTAGTATGCAAAAAAGTTAGAAAAAGATAAAGTTTTTACTCTCTCTAAATCACAAGAACCAGTTACTATTATGTTTGACAGTTAAAAAAATGTGCGATGCCATGAAATTTTAGGTGCTGTTATTCTTTTTGCAACTAATCAGTTGTATATATGGGGTGCTGAGGATATAAGTGATCGTAGTCAAAAGACTCCTGACATACTAAATACAATTCATAATTTTTTTGAGCATGCTAAAAACCAAAATCTTAATGTAGTAGCCATGGTTACAGATAGTGCATTAGCATATGCCTCCACACAGTATGTATAGATTATATAAAAAAAAATTAGAAAAATCTTTTATCATAATCATAGAGTAACACAAAAATTTATTTACCAGGCACAAAATCTGATTACAAAAACATAATATCATATTTCTCCTATGCTTCATACATCAAGCAAACCTATGTGTTAGTGATATCTTTAAAATTTCATCTGAATACAAAAAAACTTTAAAAAATGCCATCAGAGTTGCATCATATTTTACTGATAAACGATATTCAAAAGCAATATCATTATTTCGTAATAAGTAGCAAAGAATTTACAAAACCATATATAGCTTTGTGCTTTCTATAACCACCTATTGGAATTCCTATTATTATTGTTTTGCAATGCTCCTAAGAAGCCAACGTGCTCTACAGTCATATTTGATCCTATATCTAACAGACAAATCTTCCACTATTATTAATTATCCTTAATTTTAGACATACCTTGACGAATTAGTAAAACACCTTCTACTCTTTGTTAGCATACTTGACTATTTTCAATGTGATGTGGCCAATTTTTTTGATATTGCTTATGCATTCGGATATGTAGCACAACAGTATGAAAATGATATTAATGGATTTGGTCATGAAATGTAAAAAAAACTAGAAAAAAGATGGGCAGATTGGGAGCAACTCCTTCTTTTATTGGCAATTATATTTCATCTACAATATTGTATTCAAGCTTTGTTTAATACAAATTTTTTTTCTCTTGGCTAAATAATACGCTAGATTGAATATTATTATAAAATATAGTTTGATGTGAAACCAAAGCATATTGCACTAAAACTAACTAAATACTATATGAAACGTGATATATTTAGTGATGAGAGATTTGAAAATACCATGGATGCCATTCTAGCAGAAAATGTAACAAAAAATATAATTGGGCTCACATTATTGTGATATTGAGAATTTGCAGCAATTGATCAAAAAGAGATTAGTAAAGTTGCACAAAAATTGTACAGTATTAAAGTTAATTCCACACCATATGAGTGTCTGTTTTCCCGAATGAAATGGTTCCAAAATCCAAGACGAAATCATCTTAAAGTAAGAACAATGTATTAGAGTTTGGAACTGGTTTATTTTTTATATATTAAAACTAGTTTTAATATATGAGAAATAAAACCAGTTTCAAACTCTGCAATGTGTTTAAATTTTGTAAATGTATTTTATAAAAACTTATCTTGTTGTAATTACAAACAATCTTTAGGATGACTCAAATCACAGCTGAAATGGCATAGAAAGAACACTTAGATAATGCTGAAAAAATTTGCAAAACTGTTACTGCAAATCGTATTATTGATTCAAATAATAGTAAAACAGCAATAATACACTGTGAAACCTAATTAGAATTAAGCTTTGTACAAAGAAATGAAACATACAACCCAATTGCACTTGACCTTACTGAAAATATGCATATTCCAATACTTGATGATGGTGAGATGCCTGAAAAAAATGATTATGATACTAATGATTATAATAGTGATGATTATTCTAGTGATAAAAATGAAGAAATAACAAACAATGAATCTATTATCAGAGAATTAGTTAATGATGATAATAATGAAAATGGGAATCTTGAAGAATTAACTACAACTTCTTATGATATCACTAATGTGCAAAATTGTCATCCGGCTGAACACAAAGGTTCAAAGATTGAACTTCAATACCTTTTTAAGCATGCTTTATCACAACCTTCATTTGTTTGTACTCTTCAGCAAGACATTGAGAATAATTTTGTATTATCTAACAATTAGAACCAATTATATAAAATGTAACGCAACCACGATAAATTTTATATAATAAAAGAGTTAGTTTTGCTATCAACATTCGTATTAAAAGATCAACTACAAAATATCTTGGCATAACGTAATTAGAATAAATAATATTTTATTAAATTTTAATAGATTTAGTTAACAATATAGTAAAATCTCCAAATATAAAAAACCCTTACAACAATAAACTTACCAAGTAGTATATCTGACAGGATCTATATTGATCGAATATGGTTTGTTTAAATATCTAGACTTTCTATTACAATCTTATTAATATAGACTCAGCATGTATTAGACCTGAATCTATTATACGTAGACTTAAAATTAGTAAAATGCGAAAACTTTTAATAGAATTGAACTTTAGCTACGAATTATTGGTTGATCTAGTTACACAGACCGATATGACTGATTTGACCAACATGACAATGGTCGAACTGGTCATATGGGTCATATTGGTCTGTGTAACTAAATCATTTAACCAGTGTCACAAGATCAGACTAGACCAGTCAATAGTCAAATCGGTCTGGTCGAATAGTCAAATTGGTCTGGTCAAATCTACTCTGATTATAATCAACTTATCTCTAAGAATTATTTTTACCAGTAACTATTAAATAACTTGTTTTTCTTATTTTCTTTGTCTTCTGCTCACAAAGATAAAAGATCTTGAACTAACACTAACTTTGATAATAATTCTACATTTATTTCTAGAACTTATAAAAAGATAACTATTATTAGTAAATTATATTTGCAACTAGAGTTTGAAAGAGTCAAAAGGTCAAGTTAAAAGTTAAATAGTAAAGATATAATGCACTTTACTAATGTGATTACAGAATTATTGTTGCAAATCAAAATTCAAAGTAAGAAAATAATAAAGTTAAAAAAAAAAATAAACAAATATTATAAAGAAATAGTTCAATTAAGGGACCTATGTCAGAAAAAATATGAAAAAAATAAGAAACTTATTAAACAATGAAATGTTCGACATAGTGACTAGTATAAATATATAAAGGAAATTATTAAGATCATATAACTTAAATGAGAAAATTTATATGATAATATTAAATTTTTAATCAAAAATAATAATAAATTTTCTTTAATGAATTTATTAAACTATGATCTATAATATAGCTAAGTAAACATAATCAAGTTGTAGTTAAATTTATTAAGACACTAACAATAATTTTAATATAGATTCCTCAAGTATTGAAAAGATTTTCAAAAAGATGATGATTATCAATTTAATATACAGATCAAGGTATAGAAAATATGTATTAGAAATAAATTTTATAGCATTAGCTATCAAATATTCTATTGCATAATCAAAAACTATTATCAATATTAATAACTATATTATGTGTTTAGATTAGTATTTAATTTTATTTAATTCATTTTTATTATTAGCAATTATTTTATGAATACTAAATCAAATAATAATAATATATAAAAAGTTATTCTTATTTGCAAAGTTGGTTGAATGGACTATTAAAAAGAGAAAAACTTTTATCTAATAGGCTTTTATTTATAGCATTTGATAATGAGCAGAAAGTTCAGTAAAATTATCTTGATCAAGAAATAAACATAGTGATATTTTATATTGTTACTAGTTTTGTTGTCTTTAATATAGAATTACAAAATCGTATTCAATATACTAACATTTCTTGAGTATCTAATTCATTTAATAGGTTACAATGGCTACTCGAATTCTTTTTAGCTATAAGAAAATCAATTTTATTAGTTGCAGATTGTTTTTTTTTATACAATAGCTCAAGAATTTCAGTAAAATAAATATATAATTCTTAATCTATTGCTTCTTGCATCTCTAATATAATTTTAAAAGAATTCTTATATTGTGATAAATGATATTCTAGCTGTGAAGAACAAAATATTAAAAATTGAAAACAAGTTTGTTCTAAGTGTAAAACTTATCTATTATTATTGTTAAACAAAATATTTCAGAGTTAGAGAAAAGTGTCAAAAAATAATCAATTATCTTTAAGTCATATCTTGTTAAAAAAGAAACCAAATTACCTACTATACCAAGAATTAGTATTACTCAGAAGTCATATACAGATCAGAGAGTTAATATTTCAGAAATTTTTGTTCTTAATTCTCTTAATATTAACCCAAATTCAATAGTAAATATTAAAAAACTTTTTTCTCATATTGAGAAAATTTCAGAAATTAAAGATGAAAGACACAAGTGAGTAGCTGTTATGTGTGATGGCATTCTATATTACTATATAATTAAAATAAAAGACAAATATTCTTGATATGTTTTTATTTTTGGACAACTACATGAGCAAATGAACATGCTTTGAGTATATATAGAATTGAATTAGTAAGTTTAAATTGCATTATTTAAGTCTAAAGCTTGAATTACTAATATTAGAAAATTTTAATACCCTGATTGTAATTAATTAAAATCTAATAATTATAATTGATTAACATTATTATTATCAATTAAATATGATAAAAATTTTTATTATTATAATTGATATAAATTGAAATATAATTTATTTAAATTATTTGTAATTGATATTTATATTGTAATATTATAGATATTTTTAAACATTATTTTATATTATTTTATTGATATTATATTAGTTTTATATTATAT